ACTTAAAAAAAAACCAAAACCAAAACCAAAAAAAAACCTCTAAATGTTTGAAATTCCACACTGTCCTTAGTGTAATGAAATCTCACAGTCCTGTCAGAAAGTGAATCATTCATTTGTTCAGAATGTCCACCATACTGCCTGCTAATCCCTTTAGCATCACTTGCTGAGTACCTGGTTACCAGATCAACTGTTGTGTATCACAGCACCTCTGTTCAAGTGGCCTTCATTTTATGTAGTAATGGCCTCAGAGCCCAAGAGGTCAAGCATGGTAGCCCATGCTTGTAATTCAAGCACTCAGGAGGCTGGGACAGAAGGAGTGCCAGGAGTTCGAGGTCACTCTGGGCCACATAGCACGTTAAGAGAGAGAGAGGGGTCAGGGAGATGGCTCAGTGGAATAAAGTGTTTCCCTGGCAAGCACAAGGGCCTGAGTTCAATTCCTGGTTCTGCCAAAAAAATAAATAAATAAATAAATAAATAAATAAAATAAATAAAATGAAAAAAGAGAGAGAGAGAACCCAAGAGGAATACTTCTGGCTATTTGCATAGGCCAAACAAAAGCTGTAAACTGTCCCTATAAGTGAAAAGCTGAGAGCTCATTTTTTTTGGCAGAACTGGGGATTGAACTCAGGCCCCTGTGCTTGCCAGGGAAGCGCTTATTCCACTGAGCCATCTCCCGGCCAAGCTGAGAGCTCTTAACAAAAGGGAAGAAAGACAATCACCTGCTAAGGTTGCTAATATGTACTGTGTGCTATGATGTTCTGCAACCATATTCACATAACTTTTCCTATAGTATACTGGTATAACTGACGTACTTCTGTTGTTATTCTCTTACTGTGCTTCATCTATAAGTTAGATTCTAGGGGCTGGGGAGATGGCACAGTGTAATAAGTGCTTCTCTGGCAAGCACAAGGGCCTGAGTTCAATCCCCAGTTCCACCAAAAAAAAGAAAAAAAGTTAGATTCTATCACTGGCATGCATAGGGAAAAGCAGTACAGTTAGGGCTTGGAACTATCCATAAGTTCAGACACCCAGGGAGGTCTTAGAATGCAGCTGATGGATCAAGAAGGACTAAGTCCAGGTCAAGTCCCAGGGTAAGGGGCTGGGGAAATGGCTCAGTAGACTAAGCACCTGCCTGGCAAGCACAAGGGCCTGAATTCAATCCCCGGTTCTAAAAAAAAAAAAAAAAGTCCCAGGGCAGAGCTGGTAGAAGCCCCACCCATGGGTTCAAAACTGCTTCCTAACCTCATCCCACCTACTGCAAGTATGCATTCCAGACAGGCACAGGCCAGTGGGGGCACTCCAGGGCCTCAGGTTCCTGGCAGGTTCCTGGCACTGCGCACGGCAGGTGAGGTGACACCCTACACTCTGGGCTGCCTGTACCAGGTCTGTGTGGGTGCTAATATTCTCACATCATAGCACATGGGCAGCTGCCGAGCCAAACTCGGAACGGCATGTGGACAGACACGACACTTGTCCTTCCTGTGGGGCAGAGGGCAGCAGACACACTCTGTAAGGATGGCCACTCTAGCTCCTCGGCCTGGGGCACTGTGAGCTTCCTCACAGTTCCTCTTGCTCTGAACGGAGCTGTGTGAATGCAGGGTCAGATTCTACCTCCGCCTTACTATGACCCACACAGGCCTGCTTTTCCAAGCCTAAGTTTATTCATGTGGGCAAACTGAGACTTACTGTTCACAGTGAGACACGTAAACACTGACACAAAGATGTTCCCAACCCCTGATTGCTCCATGTCCCCAGCCTTTCCCTTTAATCGGGATATGCATGGGGGAGGGGACCAACCGGAACTCAGTTCTCAGCTATGGGCCTAAAGGATCCTGGGGGACAAGCAGGAAATAAAGAGGCCACCGTCAGTGCCATGCTGGGACGCAATTGAACTTTTCTCCACCACTGACCAGCTGGCTTCCTACAGGGGGCAGCACCAAGGCCATCCAGGATGCTAGGAGAAAGAGACCGCCATTCGCAACAGCACTTTTTTTCTGGGCTCCTTCCTTCCCTGGTTCTGCCAGCTGTTCTGAGTGACAATGGCTGTAAGAATGCCCCAAGCCTGCATTTTGCCGAGCCAGCAGATCAGAGCAGGTTACCCAGCAGCACTGTCTGTGTTGCCAGGCAACAGGAGAACTTGAGATGGTTGCCTGGCAACCCTACCCTTCTAGACTCCTCTCCCCACTGGCCAAAGGCTGTTGCCTTTGAGATCTTTCTCCTTTAAAGTGAAAAGGGCAGAGCTGGTAGAAGCCCCACCCAGAGGGGTGACCCAGGGGCCAGAGCACACTCCATGGATGTGGACACAGGACAGACTACGCAGGCCATGACTCACCTTGCCGCCACCGATGCCCATGCCACAGTTGTTGAGCTTGAGCTCGTGTAGGGTGAAGCATGCTGGGCTCTTGAGCAGAGCCTCAAAGCCGCGGACGCCATCAGGCCCAAATGCGTTGTCACTCAGGTCGAGCTCCACCAGTTGGGCGCCAGCGGTGATGAGTCCCTCCCCTAGTGAGATCTGGGCAGAGAAGAAGCATAGGTTGGTTTCCCAGACACCCACCAGCTGCTGCTTCTGTGCCAGGGCCAGCCCTGCCCTCAGGGGACAGACGCGTAGGCCACCAACCTGGACTTTTCTCACACCAAGCTTCCTATTATGTAGCTGCACCAGAAACCCCAGAGGGCTTCTAAATAGTGTGTGGGACAAGGGAGAAGAGCTGGGAGGGTTCCCTGTAGGGGGTGGCAGATGAGCTCATGATGAATGACAGCAGTATCAAGAGATGCAGAGACAAGCATGAAGAGCAGGCTGTGTGCGCCAGGAGGCAAGTGAGGGGTCAAACCAGGTCAAGAACCTAGACCTGAGGGTCGACCAGATAGCTCAGCAGATTAAAGCACCTGCTTAGGCAGACCCAGGGACTGAGGATCAATCCCCAGAGTGCCATGCTGTCCCCACCCCTGGGGCATGCTGAGAGGGCGACTGAGACTAGGCGTGGTGGCACGTGCCTGTGATCGCAGTGCTGGAGAGGCTGAAAACAGGAGGATCACTACAAGTCCAATCTGAGTAGTGAGACCCTGTACTAAATACATAAGGACAAAAAAAAAAAAAAAAAAAAAAAAAAAAAGAACCTAGATATGACCTGAAAGGACCAGCTCTGTGGTGGTGGATAAAGAAGGAAGTGAGACACAGACAGTGGGAGAGAGATGGCCATATGTCCCTGGGGACCTGGGGCAGCAATGTGGGCAAAGCAGGGGCCAGCTGGTGCAACAGAAAGCAGATGGGAGGAAGATGACCCTGATCACAGGGAGTTTATAAAGCTAGGGGCTCCCTAGCATGGCAGGAGGCAGGGAGGTCCCACAAATGCCTTTCATGTTCTAAAGGGCTGGCAGATGAGGATGGCAGAAACCAGATTTGGCAGGAGGTGGAACTCTCTGGGAACCTGCAGGACTGGGGTTACCTACCACCCCAAAAGAAACAGTCCAGGAGCAGGGAGGGCAGAAACAGGACAGGGAAGGCAGCTTATGGCAGCAGAAGGTGGAAGAACATTCTGCTTTCACCCAGGCCCAGGCAATATGTTATACCCTGTCAAAACTGACCCCGTTTTGTTGCCCTTCTAACCTCGCCAAGTTCCTGTTCTGTATGCGCCGACCCCTCCCAATTCCTCACCCCTGTGACTCAAGTCTTATGATATCTGTTCCCCAAACCTTATCTCAATGAACTATTCCTC